TTAAATATCATATTCTCAATATATATAAAAAGCGAAAACTCTCTCTCTCTCTCTCTCTCTCTCTCACACACACACACACACACACACACACACACACACACACACACATATATATATATATATATATATATATATATATATATATATATATATATATATATATATATAATATCCTTACTCTCTCCTGGACATTGAGTTCTACCTGAGTCTATCCTCTTGGAATATTTATTCAAAAAATATACGTGTATGTGTATGCACCTATGTATATATATTTATATATTTTGCATATGTATGTGTATATTTACCACTAATATTAGCTATATATATATATATATATATATATATATATATATATATATATATATATATATATATATATGAGTATTTTCGTTTTTAAAATTACTTAATTAGAATATAACAATACGTGTATACATATTGTTATATTCTAATTGTGTTCATATTCAGAATTTTGGTGTTTCATATTATTCTCAATAATTTCAGATGTTGAAAACATAAATTGGAGATTATTCTTAGAATTTTTAATTAAGGATTTAATGACAAAAATAATACGATAGATTGAAGAAAGAAAATAATTGTGTATAACTTTCAAACCCTCTAGTGTTTTAATTAAATCTATTTTGAATGAACCAAATCAAATCAAAATGCTATGGGAAATAAGAAATACAGCACAGATTAACAACAATAACTCTAAACAGTGTAACCTTTCTCTGGAGGATAATTACCTCTTTACAACCAGATATTAGCATTCATTTTCAAATATTTAAATATTAGCATTCATTTTCAAATATTTAAATATTAGCATTCATTTTCGAATATTAAAATATTAACATTCATTTTCAAATATTAACATTCATTTTCAAATATTCAAATATTAGCATTCGTTTTCAAATGCCACGACAAAAATAAAGACTTACTGCATTACCTACAACAAACTCATAAACAAAAATGCTAAATAAAACTTCATAAAATAAATCTATTAAACTTTATTTAAAATTCAAAAGCTTAGAACCAAACAAAAATACACGGAAGAAAAATAAATAAATAAACAAATGAAATATATAAATAAGCAATCCTCGAAGACTTGACTATAAGTCGATGCGTTAGCCCGAAACAAAAGAACAGGGAATATTTAGTTTCTTCCTCCACTTTCTTTAAGCATCAATGGTCTATATAAAAAGCCTTAAAATAGTGTGGCATTTGCTTTAAAGTGAAATTGAGGCGTGAAGCGAATTAAAAATGCACTGTCAAATCATTCTGCACAAATTTGAAAAATCCGGCAATACATAACTGTAATAAAAAACCCGAAAGTCTATTAATATTGGATATAACGGTTATCAACTCGGGAAGAGCGATAGGAAGAGATCGAATTCTGGTCGAGTTCTTTACATTCACTTCTGTACTAATACCCCTGAGAAAGTTCTGAATACATCTCTTACAGGCTTCTTTACCTTGATCGGTAACCAGTGTAGGAGAAAGAAATCTCTAAATTCAAAATCTACACTAGAAACACCACTGTTACTATGGTCCCAGTACACATGGCGTAGCCACGACCCAGGACTCGTGTAACAGTTAACAGTATCATTTTTGCAGTTTCCATCATTAAACTCAGTCACAGACACAATTAGTTTTGCAGCTCCTCTATAATCATTTTTAACAAAAATACTACATGAATTAACACAATCAAAACATTTTTTCACGTGTTTAGAATACTTCAAATGTTTATAGAAAGTTTTTTGCTCGATTATGTCCAACCCAAAGAAATAGAAATTACTTTGTTTTCACAAAGATAACTTATAGGATTAAATGGTCTGTTTTCCAGCCACATGCAAAGATAATATTTAATCAAGTCGCAGAACGCATTACGTGTTCCAAAGAACACATATACGAGGGAATCTTCATAAGTTCTCAACCCGATCAAGAAGCTACACTTCTTCGGGAAACGCAAAGTACTCTCAAAATAAAACTTTTTTTTTTTTTTTTTGAAATAGAAACAGATTGTATGGAAACCGATCACGACAAATATTACTTCGCAATCCATGTCACATTGTTGGTTTAATTTTGCCAAAAACTTCTTGGACAAAGAAATTTGCTTTTGGAAACAAGTAATATAGAGTGATGAAACAAATATTGAGCTATTGAAATATTGATGTACAAAATATTTAGCTCAAGGAAGGTGAGTCTTTCCTTTCAAATAACACAGTGGCTACATTAAAATATGGAGGCGTCTCGACGATGTTTTGTGGTCGTTTTAGTTCAAAGGGGACTGGACAATTGCAATAAAGAGGAATAATGAAATCTGCGGACTATATCAAATTTCTGCATACAAATCTACAACTATCAGCGCTAAATCCTCATTTAGGTCTGCGTCTAACTTTTCAGCAAGATAATGATCCCAAACGTACGTCTAAATTAGTCACTGCGTGGCTTCAGAAAAAGAAGATTACAGTTCTGCCATGGCCTTCAATGATTTGAATCCTATTGAAAGTCTATGGCAAGAATTGAAAGTTCGAATACTTCGTCGATCACCAAAAACCTTCAAAAATTAGGACGTGTAACCATTGAAGAATGGAGGGAAATCACAGAAAAGACTTCTTCAAATCTCATCAAAACTTTAGAATACGATTGCAGAAAGTTATAAAGATGAGGGTCCATGCTATTGACTATTAATATTGTGAAAATTGTCCGATATTTTCTATTTTTCATAGTATACGAATAATTTTGTCTTTTCGTATTTTGAATAATTCACCTGTCAAATTTGTTGTATTTAACCTATTGTTCTGAAAATTGAGTTTTATATTACTTTTTGTGCTTATTAATATATAAAAAAACATGGCATCAAACGGGAATTAGATTCTGAGAAATGACGAAAAATATTAAGAACTGATGGGTGTACGGATAATTTAGTCGTTGACTATATATATATATATATATATATATATATATATATAGAGAGAGAGAGAGAGAGAGAGAGAGAAAGAGTTGGGGAAAACAAATATTCGCACGCATACCAAGTTTTAATTTATTATATTTCCAATTAATGAATAAACATACTTTTCATATATTTAACTGTACACAGATGCATAACTAAATATGCATAGGAAAGAGAAAAATGAAGCACCGTTTGACCTGCGTACTTTATCCCTCGACCACGAAAAAAATCACTATAAACAAGTATTTTCTTTTTTTTCAATCAAATTTTTTAAATTAATAAAATTTCTCTATTTCAAATACGAAGTACCTATAACGTTTAAAGTAATAAAAATATTGGATTAAAAATAAATCAATTATTAAGAAATATATATTTTAAAATTATCCGGAATCATTTCTCATCTAAAGATTATTCTGAAATTATGCTGAATGATGAAGCTATTAAAGTCAATAAATGCCTTTATTTATTAACATTGCCGTAGCATTTATTTTGAGTTACTTACAAACATTCATTTAGGCCTAAAAATAAAATGGCGTTTTAATGTTGCTTTATTGGAATTAGTTATAGAATTGTAAGAAAGTTGTATAGATTAAGAGAAAAACTGACAAATATTATTTTGTTATTAATTTCTAACTGTTAAGAATATCTAATACTTATATTTGTATATATATATTCTGAGAAAGTTTGAATTAATGCGGCTTTAAATAATAAAATAAATTTTCCGTTCCTTAGATTTTTAGTGTAGACTAGCAGCATGACTCGGCGTTGGCCCTGCTTGAGTCAAAAATCGTACGACTCATACAGCAATCGCTATCACTTGACTTAAAATATTTTTGCCCTTGCTTGCCTTTAAAGAAATGCTCTTTGCCGTTACTGAAAAAAGAACTAAACAAAATGAACATAAAACGATCAGCTTTAAAAAAAGGACTCGTAACTGGAAAAACCGAATGAAAAAAGAATGTTAGCAACAAATACTTTTTCCATATCAACCCAGTTCTCGGAATCAGAATCAACGTTGAGTTTAAGCAAGTGAATGAGCCAATTGGAGTCAAGTGCCACGCAGATTTAAATTTTTCCCACTTGTGACGAATGCAGCTAACGATTCTTTTTTGCATGCTAGCATGCTAGTTAACATTCGTGTCAATCAGCTGTTGGCCCTCACGCTGGCCAATAGAATCTTCCTTCCTATTCGTGGCAGCCAGCTATAGGCTCTCACTCTGGCCAGTAGAAAATGGCTACAAATTACATGAAAACTGCCGTAGAAGCATGCAAAAATCGATTATTTCCACTATCAATGGGAGTTGGGAAATGCAACGTCGGACTTGGCCTTCCCGCTAACATGGAGCATGTGCATGTAAATTTTGGTGCAAATCCGTCGAAAATTGCGGCGGTGCATTCGTTACACACACAAAAGAATCTGCCTTTTATAGATAGAGATATGATATTCAACGAAGATGTGTGATTCTATATGAGTAGCATAATTATTACTCAATATTGATATTGTTCTTAGAAATCAACATAGAATTACACTATATTTATTAGAAAACTGCATCTTTTAAGTCTTCAGAAAGCTCAGCATACACACGCATTAACTTGCAAACTTTTATTACACGACAGATATGTTTCTATTCATGCATATTGACTGGTTGTATCTTTAAGGTCTTTGTTAAATCATCAAATACTTTTTGAATTTTAATGCGAAAGGATGACTGCGAGTGATGATATTTAAATAAGATGTTTCATAGATATATTCCTTTTCCATGCCGATAAATATGAAGAAATAAATGTTGTGTAGTTTAGGTGTTACAATGAAAAGATATACATAAAAATAACGAAGTATTAAAGAAAAACTGTAATGACAGACATGTGATTTATGAAAATGAAGGGTGAAAATAAAAGGCATCTTTGTGATAATGACTAGATTAAATATGATGAAAAATAGGGAAAATCAGAAGAAAAGAATAGCATAGAATTTTCACAAATGAAAATTGGAAAGAGAAAGATAATGGAAGGAGAAAAATAAAAATGCAAGAAATATGGAAGATCAATATCAACCAACAAATGAAGAAAAATGGAATGAAAATGAGTGAAAATTAAAGAAAGGCAGGAAGCGAAAAAAATTGAGCGAAACAGAAAGAGAAACTATCGATGAATATGAAAGAAGTGAAAATGAATGTAGAGAAAGTAGGAAAGAGAAAAATTGAAGATTTGGGATGGCTGGGTGAACCAATGATAAGAAAGAAACAATGAATCCAGTGAAATAAAGAAACAAAAATCAGAGAGAGACTGATTGAAAGCAATTTATGCTATGGATTTATATTCAACCAACCAAGGTATAGACAAGGCTGAATGGTAGGAAACTATGTCGAGAATTAGCCGATCATCTGTTGCTATCTGACAATGTGTCATTTCAGGTTTTAAATGGGAAAATTTGCAAAGAAGGAAGTTAAGTTCCTCAAGAGTTCCAAAATACTTTTCACCATCTGCTGCAGTCATTTAACCATGAATTCTAAGTTTTTATTTTTGCATCATTTTGTTTAAAGCGCTGCAAAAATGTATGTCGAAAGAAAACGAAAACTACAGTGGTTATCCCAAAATTCGAAATCAGTGTTAAAACTAAAACCAGGACTAAAGCCACAAAAGTCCTTGATTTATGTCTGGAGCAATATTAATGCCATCATCCATCACGAGCTACTGAGGACTTCAATGCAGATGTTTATTGCTGACGATTGAGGAAATGAAACATTACCTTGAAAGTGGCCATCAGGAAAGATGTTGTCGTTAACCATAGCAATATAAGGGGCTTTTCTGTAAATCAAATCAAAGGAAAAATAAGATCATTACTACAGGAAATACTTTCACATTTGCAATTCTCAGTAAATTTAACACTACGAAATTTTAATTTCAGATGACAATTTTTTTAAAAGTGGGAGAGTATTCAGAAACGAGGAAGGAATTGAAAACAGTTTTCTCGTTGAACCGCTGATGTCGAAAATTTATAAATTCTATTTTGATCAATAATGTTTAAATAAAATTAATTTACCGTTTATCCGTTTTGCTAAAATGTAATTAATTTCCAAACATCTTAATGTTTGAAAAATTTTCCAGCTCCTATGTTGGAAAAGTAGACGCATTGAAACATGTTTTTGATATAAAGAACGAAAAGTAATTTGATAGACAGACAGGTGGGAGAGAAAGATGTGTTGCTATACAGAACATATGCGCATGTCTGAGGACAGAGTTAGAGAAATAAAGTAATTTTGGTTATCTACATACCCAGAGGTATTTCCTATCGACAATAAAGACATTAGCGTCTGATAAAGTGCGCATTGCATTTGATGTCGTAGCAGATCTTCTATGTGATTCTAATAAAATACTTCAAATGGAAACTTCTTTGTTTTGCTTCAATTTCCTTCCTTACACCTGCGAGGTTCGTCACTTTCATTTATGTCTAAGCGCATTTATTACTGGCCGTGTAGACACTCCAATATATATATAGACAGAGATAGATAGATAGATTGATAGATAGATAGATAGATAGATTAATGTTTAAGAACAATCTTTAACTAAAACAGTGACTGAACATTGTCCACATTTATTCAATGTGCGATAAATGACCCTCTAGTTCTTGTTCTCGCGATAATTGTCATCAAAGCTTCAGATATCTCTTTATATCTTTATTCTTCCCTACATACTCTACTTTAACGTATTTAATTTCTCTTCATTCTCTTGATGCATATGCTTTATATATTTTGCCCACTGTAACAGCTGGCTTGAATCTTCACTAACTTGAGATTTAATGGCTGTAGGAATTTTCCACAATGTTTGTTATATCCATGTTATTAAAGATTATGCTTTCGATAGCGAATGACTCTGTAATGATTACATATGCATATATTTTTATTAACCATTTTAACCCATTCAAGGTAGTAGAATCACTAAGACAAAGAGTTACTGAGTGTGAATGAATAAGATAAAAGAGAAATATTAATAAGCGAGAACAATGGAAGCGTAGAGAACAATTGTCATAGCATTTAAATTTTTGAAGATCAAACTTGATTGGAAATCCAGGACCCGAAAGAGAGTTCTCCATGCGAAAAGTGAGAGAAAAGAAACAGTTAGCATAGAACTTATGGTTGCATTAAGCCATTTCAACTGAATTTTATCGCTATTTTCTATTGGATTTGATTACTATACTTAACTAAATATTTCCTGTTTACCAACGCAGATATATTGTTTTCATACCGCGTCATATTATTGAATATGTAAGTAGAAAATGATCTACTTCTGCAGTTTATTTTTATTTTCATTTATATTGTTGCTTGGAACAGACAATTCTTTTTTCACTGAATAGTTCTTCAAAGTATAGTTGCATACGAAATTTTATTTCTGAGGTGTGTGACATGTATGGAAGATAAGGTGGAAGGAAGTGGGAATTATGAGAATTGATTACGATTGACCCTTGACGTGAAGAGGTCAAGATTAAAATATTCGGGGAAGCACTCACCTATGACTTTTCTCCACAAAGGTAAAAAAAAATGTTAGAGAATTCTATTCTTACATTTGGAACTGAGGAAATAATGCTATGGATGTAGCGCGGTGAGTCCAAGCAATGAAGAACTAAACTGATGGAACTAAAGAGTGGAGCTCTTCTGGACATTTTCCATGGAAATAGAAATAGAGAAGGGATAGTCTTGCCATATTGCGTCTGTGTGAAAGAAGTTGTAAAGTCACCTTCACACGATCACGTAACCGATTTTAAAATTATCAAAGCTGAAAAGTGAGAATTGAGCAGAATATGGAAGGTATAATTTATTTTTGGTCTGACTCTTGTAAAGATACAACATTGCACAATTTATCGGGTACTTCATGGAGTGGTATAATGAACAGGGTATTTTCTTAGATCCTTTAGTAATTGACTTAACATTGTGAATGAAACAAATTTTTCACTTAGGAACACAGCCATAGAGAAAGAGGGATTTAATAAGAAGAGAATACCCTGATGAAATTAAAAGAAAAATATGGGTAGAGTAAGAGTGGAAAAGAATGAAAGCAGGAGGGTGATAAAAACAGATGAAAGAGAGGAGCAAAATGACGAGAAAGATTAGAACAGATATAAGAGGAAGAGAATAAACGGAGAAGGAGGAGAAATAAAGCAACAATAAAACAAAAAAAAGAGAAAACCAATAAAAAAGGGGAAAAGAAAACAAATTAAGAAGAAAAGACCAAAAGATAAACAGAACAGATTCGCTTTCCGAGCGTGACAACTCAGAAAATGTATGTTCCATTCGCTACTTAAGTTTCACGCTCTAGCGATCCTCAGGTGACGAAAATTCACACACACACACACACACACACACACACACACACATATATATATATATATATATATATATATATATATATATATATATATTTACGTATGTGTGTGTATAATTGGCGGATTTTAATTTTAAATCTGAAACAATGTAAAAGAAAAAGAACACCTAAATTAAAGCATATTTAAAGCATATGTGAAAAAGATACTCCCTTTTGTTGAGTTTTATAAACAGACTAACGCCCGCTCTACAATCCGCGAATGTCTTTTGTGTTTTTAAATCTCACAGAAAGTGAAAGGATATATATTTACTCTTCCATATGTTCCATCCAATGTCTGTTACCATAAGAAGCCAAAGAACTGTATTTCTTATATGTTAACGATGACCTCTATTTGATCTACAGGCCGTGATTTGAGCGCCATATGTATATTCATATCCCTGTCTTGCATTTTAACTTCTTTATATCACGAAAGGAAATGTCCAGAAAAAAACGTATTAGGGATTGTTCTTTTTTTTTTTGATTTCCTAAACAAAATCTCAGAAATAGCTGCGTTGAAAAAAATACTGCGTTTATTTTCAGAGCATGACAAAAGAGAGAACAATTTCCAAATTCGCGGCCAAAAGTGCCTGTTGTAACAATTATGTGAAGTGAAATGAATGCCTCTGAAAATAAGGTTCGATATTCAAAATTCTGTGTGACACCTGAAGAAGTCCTGAAAACTCGGCAACCGGAACGTTTTAATTAAAAATGTAAAGAAATGAGTCTGAATAAAATAATTAATGGTTATAACATAACGCCAGAAAATTAGATATAAGGAGGTAACAGAACAAATAGATAAATACTATGGTAGACTAGGATCTTTAATCTTGGTTGCCAACCAATCAAGGAAATGGAAAACTGAAATTCAAAACCCGAAGTGTGTTTGAGGATCTCGTGTCACGCGATGTATACCAGTTCTTTGTATTTAGTTCTCCCGATGGCTGATCCTGAAGAAACCTTAAACACTATAATCAAATCATATCTGCCTTGTAGTCTACCTGTTCCGTTCTCGGAGCTGAACATTTGGATCCTCACACGGTGAAGACGACGGGAGAGTCCATTGTATAAATATGCAAAATGATTAAAATAATTTCCATTCGTTGCCCCATATTTATATATTGTTAATTATTTTTCTTAGTTTTTCTATTTGGATTCTTATTTCAACACAGTCATCTAATGTTACACTATTAATTCCTGTCTTAAATGACGAATCCGACAAGAGTTTTTGTAAGACTCCTCTCGGTACGAGAAAGATAATTGAATTAGGAAAAAATGGAATTGTAAATTAAGTTATTCTCATTAGCAGATCAGTAATGATACACTTGGGAAGACAGAAAACCATGAATCGATGGTTCCAATCGATAACAATTTGAAAATACTTTCCTCGGTGCAGGCTTGAGAAAAGATATCGAAAGAACATGGATATCTACCTGCTTAAATAGATCAATGTAGATTTTGCAGCTTATCTGTCATTGAACTTGACTATAATTGTAATCGTATTTTCTTTTGACGTGTGATTCTAGTCTGTATTTATCGTTGTATCATTTCGTATCTATTTCTCATTCACTTTTTATTATAATCTAATTATTTCTCCATTGTCGTTTGAGAAAGTACTAATATATAAATAAATATTCTTAGAATAATCGATGTATATATTTACTACAAAAATAATGCCATTTCGATATTTATACAACGAAAGAGATACAAGAAAATTGCTGAAGTATTATTATTATTATTATTATTATTATTATTATTAACTTTTTTGAAAATCAATCATGGTACTAGTAAGCATTTTTTGTTTGAATTTCTGGGATGAAGAGTAACATTCGTTCTCTCATATCCTCATCTTTGTTGTTATAATCAAACCGTTTCGGCTGTTGGGCCCTTTTCTGAAAAGCTTGATCCTCTCTGCCATAATTTCTATTTGTTTCTTTATTATATAAGAGGAGTCATAGGTAACAATAACTTTGATTAAATAAAGGGCTTAGTTTGAAATCCCCTTAAAGTTACTTGGATCAACAAACACCTGAAAAGGCTGGAGGGTACGTCGTCTGAAAGGTTATGATAACAACAATGCAAATAATAAGTATAATAGGAAATGGATGAAATTTGACAATATTTAATATATTTTCTACATATACGTGATATTTTATGGATACACTTATTTGAGTAAATACTTTGCTTTTTAATTAAACAGTATTTATTAAATTTACCGGATTAAATGTTTGAGAAATTTCGTAGAAAATATGCGTTCTTCGACAGTAAAAAAATAATTCGAGCTTGACTTAACCGGAATTCTCTGTGGCTGAATAGTCATAGCACGCCAGGTTTAATATAGGATACAGATTCAATTCCTGTCGAAGAACGCATATTTTACACGATGTTTCTCAGGCATTCAGGCCGGTAAATGGAATTAATTTAAAGAACAGAGCAATTACTCAAATAAGTGTATCCATAAAAATAATGTATAAACAGAATATATATATATATATATGGATGGATGCACGTATATATAAATAAGATGAAGAAAAGTATGACAAAGTAGACAAGTTTTGTCCTTTAGGTTTTAATCGGATGAAGTTTATGTGTTCGTTTGATTTCATTACAGATTCGCACGAACGAGAGTAGTCCCACCAAAATTGCCACAAAATTAGTCCGATGAAGTGTTAAAGGACGAAACGTATCACACAAAAACTTTTGCCACTTTGTCGTACATCTTACTTTAAAATTCTTCTTGATATATAAACAAATTTTATGTCGTTAAAACACACACATACACGCATACACACACAGGCACACACACACATATATATATGTGAAAAGTGTGTGCATATAAATATAAATATATATATATATATATATATATATATATATATATATATATATAATTATTTATATATATATATATATATATAATTTTTTATATATATGCAGCATATCTTCCTTCATAGATGTTAGGCTGAATAATCTAGACATACGACTATTTTTATTTTAATCCTCTCAAATTCACGGATCAATTTCTTTAATGTTATTAAACACATTAAGGAAGCCGCCGTAGATTTTTACATTTCTTTTATTTTCCCAAGTACTTTCAATCTCATCCAAGATCATCTTCAGTGTGAAATGTTAAGCCAGAAAAAATATATATACTTGCACTCAGATTGCTAGCTAAGTGCAAAGAAATCATTAAATTTAACAGAGGAAGATTTAATCCACGCGGGGAATTCTCATGATTTCACATAGTTTTCTGAAAGTTATAATTGTGAAGAAACACTTCTCCCAAAGAATAGGTGCTGACACTTGATTCCATTTTATAATATCTTTTTTGTTATGGTTGTTAGAAATGACTTATAAATATCAAACCTATTTCACTATCAATAAATAAAAACTAGCGAAGACCCTAAAGGTCATTTTCTACTAGAGCATACTTTTATTAATTAAAGATCAAGCCAGCAAACTACTGAAGCCTAACAAAATGATATATTAGACAAATAAATCACTCTGGACCCAGAATATTATCCGATAATAGATGAATATCAGCGAAGATATAATAAAAATGAACGTTTTGTCCAAAGAGAACCGAATATACTTGGCTTATAGAAGACGGTGTTGGAATAGAGCGAAAAATTAATTCCGTGTGGCTAGAGAACATTTTGCAAGTATAAGAATATACTAATTGGCAAAGAATGGAAGATTGAAGAAATATACTTTTAAAATTCTGAATAAATTACACGTCCATTTTCTTGTGGAAATCATAAAAACACTCACTGAAAAAATTTCCAGATTCTTATTTATCCACGTTCTGTTTTACGCCAAAATGCCAAGTGATGAAAACTTTGGTCTTCATCAGGCGTATAATTAATCTAGATCTCCTAAAGGGGAATATGTGATACCTTAATACGAAGGCGCATTGGAATAGCGAGAGATACCTTCTAAAATATAAGCAAAGTGTAGATAAACGGGAGAATTTTGTTAGAAAAAAAAAGAAAACAGTGTACCTTATGAGGAAAGAGAGCTTGGAAAATTTGACACTTACAGTGTATATCAAAGGAAAGAGGGAAAGAGAAATGCAGCGAATAACCTAAGAATCTTATGTAACTGTTTTATAGAACTGATTATGAGACATAGCAAAAAGAGAAACCTTACGAAAAACTACAAAGCACATGAAATTGTGGAGAGCCATGGTCACTCATGTCCTAAAAGGACATGCCACATTAAAAGAGCTCTATCTATAGTCCTAGATCGATCCTACTTTCAAGAATCGTGACACATCTATCAAAATTTCAGACAATTCAAAACTGATGCTAATACGTGAATTCAGAATCACAGTCCAGATGAAAGAAACGAGAAAATCCAGCAACAAGCAAAGAGAATCAATCTTATTTTCTCGAAGTGAATTATGGGTAATAAAAATGACAGTTTCAAAACTATCAGTTTAAACGTAGTTAGTTTCAGACCCAGTCTGTACAGACTATTCTTCCAGGGCTATTTCTCTCACTCCAACACACTTTACATTCAAGTTGTTCCCTTTGTATTGATTGATCGATTTATTTGTATTTTTTACGGCTTATTCCTCTTTCGCAAGTTATTTGAAGCCTGAAAAACATTTTTAGATAGCAAGAATTTTTGAAGATGACAATGATTTACTGATGCAAGACATAGTAATAAAGCTATAGCTGGGTGGCAGGGGTGGATTCATACCTTTCACAAGGGTATTTGTCCGTAAGTGAATATAATGAACTCGACTGGAATTGGAATGATTTCCTCCCCGATTTCCAATTCGAAACTTACAGTCCATCCAAACTTACAGCACCTGGTATTCCCAAACGGTCACCCATCTAGGTATTGCTCAAGCTCTAATTTGCTTAACTATGGTGACCGTACGAGAACCGTGTTCCCTTAATAAACTTTGTGATAACATTTGACTTTGTGAATTCTTTCAAACGTCTGATTGATTGATTGAGAGATTATAACTGGAAGCGACTGGAATTCAAACTCGTCTAATTCCTCACTCAGGGCCGGAAGTTATTACATCATTCGCGCATCAAAATATGATAATGAAAGATTTAGGCAATGAAAATGAACAAGTGTGTTACTTTGAGGATCTAGGCTGCAAAGACACACAACCTTATGTCAAAAATATGTTAACCTAATCCCTTCGCCCATTTCGAGTTTAATTAGAAGAAAAGCCATGTTGATCCCACAAGCAAATACAGAGAAGAAAAATAATATAACGAATGACCAAACCATATTTATTTTTCTAATGTTCACCAAATACAAAACCCAAGTACCACTCAAGGTAGAGGCTTATTGAATTGTGTTACTGTATTGGCAAAATAGGAGAAGGAGGAGGTCGTATTGTAGTGATCGGGAGACATCCGCTGGAGAGTCTGTTCGTAGGAAGGAGCTGTTTGAGCGGAAATACCTTATTCTGAATGGAATACGAGGTAGGAGTGATAATCATTCGTTTCAATATAAATGACATAAAGGGTCTTTATTGATATTGTTTTTTACGACTTATCAACCTTTTGCTGGATATTTAAAGCCAGATTTATTTTTAGATAGTAAGAATTTTTGTTATATAATAATGGGTTTGCTGATAGAAGTTCTACTAATTAAACCGTAGCTAGGGGGAAAAAGAGGTGGATGCATACATTTCACAAGTGTATTTGCGCGGAAGTGAATATAATGAACCCGATTGGAATTGGAACTTGGCTCTTCAATTTCCAAATTCAGAGCCATTATTCATTACGCCACCCGCACATTCAAGCTTACAAAACGCACACTTCTAAGGATACAACACCTGGTTCAACTTTGCTTAACTTCGGTGAGCGATGTCTCAACGTGATATGGCCGTAAACCATGACAAGTTTAAGCTGTGAATGTCGGACTAAAAAATGTAGTTCGTCTGAAGATTTGTCATGGTAATAGTAATAGTGTCGCGAAACGGTTGCGTCGTTTTGACTGTGTGAAAGGCGTTGAAGGGCAAAAAAATTCATCACCCACAAGGCTGTGTAGGCGTATTTCAACTATGGCAATTCTGGCAAGTGAGGACTAGTCGTCATCTCCAGCTCAAATGTGGCTGCAATTCTTCATTTTTTTGGTTTAATATGGCTTTTGTAATGATAGAGTATAGCATCAAGATTCAATTATTTACTGGAGCGGTGCAAGGAACTGACCAGTTTTTCAGCATCATTTTCTTAAAAATAACGGAATAAATTCAATTAAGTGATTCGCATGAAAAATTCAATCATGTTCCTAAGGATTATATTGTCCGATAAATATACGTGGGAGAGTTACAGCGAGCGGCACATAAAATATAATTGGCGAGCCGAGTTCAAATTCCGAACACGTCTGTTGCGTTCCCTTCGTATTACTGCTCTTTGAAAGGTAATGATCACTCTTCTTTCTCCCAGTTTTGAGTTACATAGACTCGGCTCTATAGGCTTCGATGTCAGCAAGTCTAAGAGGTCGTGGACAACTCTGAATTCAAAATTGTGCAGACGGTAACGGTAAACACCTTCACTATCTTTCTCAAGAAGCCATTGCAATTTACGGATAAAGAAAAGGAAGATGTGAATAGCCGCGAAGTGTTATGTCATGTTAAAAGATATATGAAAATACTGCTTATTCTGTTGCATATAGTCAAATTCTTTACCATTTGAAGTGGTTCGTGCCAGTCATCTATTGCAAGCTGTAATATAGAGATTGTTGAAGAGGACAAACGTTCAATCGGCCATGTCCCGAAGTGAGGAATCTAATTTTAATATTTCACCAACCTCATAGTACGATTCGAAAATTAAACTTCTCTAAATCTAAAGTTTGTAAACTAGAGAGGATAAAGCAAACCCATACAAGCTTAACTTATTTGTCTTACAAGTTACTGTACGCTGCATCTTTCAAATTTTTAACACTTCAGCAAAGTTCCCCATCTACTGTTTATATCTCATCATAGAGAGTATCCTCGGTTCGTTACATTCCCTGTTTTCCTTCCCGCAGATATCGGTTAAATAGTAGGATTTCTAAAAGAAAATCATTATTATTCTAAAAAAGGTATAACTGCAGTATTTACTCGCAAAAAATAAAAGAAAATAATTATTTTTACAATTCAAAAATATGTTTCGGCTTTAAATTACTCATAAAGGGTTGATAAGCCGTAAAAACAGATCACGTAAAATTTTTCATAGAATGAGACGTTTTAAATCATCCAAAGAATCAAATGTTATATATACCTAATGACTAAATTTACTAAGGGATCCCGGTTATTGTATTTTCACCGTAGTTAAGCAACTTCGAGTTTTGTCATTCTTTAAATGGATGACCGCGTGGGATTACCACCTGATGTAGGTGTGTCACAATTCTTGAAAGCAAGATTGATCTAGGACTATAGATAGTAGGAGCTCTACTTCAATGTGTCGTATCCTTTCAGGAAGTAGCTGATCACGGCTCTCCACAACTTCGTGTTTTTGTAGCTCTTCGTAAGGTTCGTCTTTTTACTATCACTCATAATAACCTCTTCTCCCCCAGCTATGGATTTATTACTAGGAGTTGCATCAGTAAAGCATTATATTCTAAAATCGAAATATATATTCTGTTTTTAAATAATCTGAAAAAGTTTGATAGGCCGTTAAGAGAAATCAATCAATCGATACTAAATGAATAACTTGAAGGAGACCTTCTTTCTCTAGATATTATCCGCAATAACATATTTTGTAGATGGTTTGAGTACAACTTTAATAGGATGAATGTTTTCTACTTTATAATCGTTTTCACGTTTGCATAGTATGTCATAAATGCGATCCTTTATTAAACCAGTTAGATTGTCGTCTATCCCCCCCCCCCGCCGCTGGAATCTACTCTGAGTTGTAATGTACGAAAAATAGTTTTCAATCATGGATTTCGGTAGGGTCTTCTTTTTTAGGCGAAGGGAGAAATTAAAAGCACCCTATGAAATCGGTTTTCTTACACGGATTGCTGAGAATGATATCACCTGTCCGCCTATATTGTCGACAATTAGTCAAATTGAGTGTTTTATTAACTAAAATATTTTTGTACTTCCTATTTCTATAATGATACTATTCTATTTAATTACGGATTTCTTCCATTGGATCATCAAACACATTTAATTTCAACAGAAGCGAAACAAAGCTGAGCTCAAATGTCCGAAGAATTATCACTGTAATTCACGATTATACAGGTCTGAAAGATTAATGTCACTGCTATCGTTGTAATCCATACTGCATTTCTGAACTAGACCAATGACATTATTGCAATAAAGCAATTATCCATTTTTGTGAAAACATTGTTTGACTCTGTTTCAGTACAAATAAAAATTAGTTCCTGCATCTAATTTTTCCTCTTTTTTTCCCTTTACATCACTGAGGATAGTGAGAATTGTCACTAAATATTCATAGTTCAATCTGAGAGAACCGCTTTGGCTCATTGCTTGAAAATATTGGGACAATACCTTCATCTTTATCTGTCGTCGTTTCTCTTAGAGAATTCCTACATAATCAAGATTAACAGTGGAGTAAGAATTGGTAGATCAAATTTATGTGGTTGAGACCTTATCACTGATGGAAGATTAAGATAATGGATTTTATTCTGATTCTTTTTGCTGTTATTTGAAGGAAAAAACGTAATAATCATTATAATTATTTCTTCTTTCCCTTTACACGACTTCTTCTTTATGTGCTGTGTCCCCTCAAGATGTAGGTGATCATGGTTCTCCACAATTTCCTGTCCCTTGTAGCTCTTAATAAACTTTGTCTTTCTGGGTTTGTTTTTTCTTTTTAGCCTATTCCGCCATCAATTTACACATTTTCACTAAGTATTTTATGCGTTGTTTTCCTCTGCCGCTCTTGCCTTCAATCTGTCTTACCAGTATCAGATTTTCCAAGCTTTACTTCCTCATTATATGCCCTGGAAAACTCAACTGCCTCTTCCTAGTGTTAAGTATTAGTTTCCTTTTTGTTTCTATTTGTTTCCAAAATTTCTCTTTGCTCACGTGTTCGGTCCACGGTATCCTCAGCATCCTTCTGTAAAACCAGATGTTGCTTCAAGTCTCTTTTTCATCTTTGAGATCGTTCAGAATTCACTGTCATACAGAAGGAAAGATATTACATAAAGGTTAGCACTTTTTTCTTTGTTTCTAGCGAAATTTTCCGATTTCTTAGTACACTGATTAACTTTTGGATTCAAGAGCTTTCTTTTTGTATATTGTTTTAGTTCTTCAACAGAAATATAGCACACTATTTACATTATTCGGACTATTGTCCTCATATTGATCACAACGATTCGGCCGATGTAAGCTCCGGCCTTCTTCAGGTGGTTGGAATGTCGAACTGAACCCTTTATTTCGCACGCAGGTAGATTGTTCTAGTTCCACATGCCATGTCTAATGGATGTCAGTTATCAGTTATCTGCTATTAATTCCCCTCTCCAAGTTCTCCACTTCCTTAACGAGGTATTGAACTCACAACTCTTTGGGTCCTTTCACTGGATCTAACTAACGCCTTTACCCGCTGTGCCATGTGTCCTTAAGAAATATAGCAGATACTGTGAGGTATTTACATTTTAAACAGGTATCAACGTTCTCTTCTAAAGTAGGTCTAATAAGTATTTTTAAACACAATCTGTTATCTTTTATCAGATCTTTTCCAGTTTTTTTTTCCCGCAAATATAGGAAAAACGTTCAGGACTGTTTATAGAATCTCTAGGCATCAAAATATGATCATTAAAATCTCAGCTCAATTTCAATATTCTTCAAAGAAAAAAAGAAATCATTATGTATCACTATGTCTTCAGTAAATCACCAATAGTTTGTCATATCATATATTGTATCTAACATCGTCAGCTGGTGAACATGCTGCTTCCTATTCGCATGAATCGTAAC